CTAATTTCTATTCACTTAGAGTTAATAAAAATTATCCTCAGGGTCTTCTATGTAAATCTACTCATACTCTTCAGAATCTGCAAAAGTGGTAAATATTTGGTTGAGTGACAAATTAGCTCAATAGGTAGTATTTGTCCCTCTGTTGGACCATACAACTATAGCTTTACATATACATATATATATAAATCAAATTATTTACACACCATCCACATCCATACTTATTGAAAATAACGTTATTTGTAAAACAATCAGTAATAATAAATGACACAGCAATTGATAGACATCTTGTTCACAACTGTACATGAAAGTCATAAAGTCATAAGTCATTTCATATCAGTTCAAACAAGTACATGCAATGGCCGGCTTCTGAGTATTCAACCAGAGATTAAACCCCTTGTAGGTGGGCGATCAATAGGTTTTATGACTACCGATTAGTCTCATTACATATATGGGGTCAATCGGACAGATTCTATATCAGACTACTGTTAGGCCTGAAAACAACCTAAGAGGGGGGGTGAATTAGGTTGATTAAAAAGCTAATCAAATTATGAACACCTTTTTGCTCAATATGAAAATTTACCTTCTTTTCTAAGTGATTACACAATGAATCAATCAATAAAGGAACAATATCACTAGAGAGTAGAAGAGATAAGCAATTAAGGTTCACAAGATGATAAGTAAAAAGAGAAGAATTGCAAACCAATTGACTACCAAACTCCTCTTGAACTCGAAGAACTCACAAAACAAGCTTTTTCAAGTTGATGAAACACAACCAATCTTGTGTACAAAGGAACGTTCACTTCCTCCTTGCCTCAAGTTTGACTTGGCCAAATTAGAAAGTTTTACAATCTCTCAGGATAACCCTCATAGAGCTACACTATTGAAGTATTCACTCACAAATGAAAAGTTTACAAAGAACCTTACACCAGAAAGAGTACAAATATTCGTTGGAGAGTATTTTCTCACTAAAACTACTCTCGATCTTTTGTATTCTCAGTGTGCAAAAGTTATTTGAAATTTCTGACCATACTCTATTTATATGAGACAAAAAAAGTGCTTCATTAATGTTTCCAACGGATAGAAGGTAGCTGAAAAGTCAACTAGCCTTTGGAAATATCGGACGTCCAGTACAACCGTTGCTTGCGTCCGATAGCAGACAGAGAGTTTGAAAGATCATCTCAATTCTATCGGACGTCTGGTACTTCCGATGTTTGCGTCCAATAGCAGGCAGAGAGTTTGAAAAATCATCTCAATTCTATCGGACGTCCGGTGAAGATGTTCTGCGTCCGATATGATCTGCACTGTCTATCAGACGTCCGGTATTGTCTTTGTGAGCATCTGACAGCTTTCATCTTCCTTTATCTTTTTTCAATTGTTCTTTGAATCAAATTGCTTTAGAGCTGAAAAGCTTTTTTATTGAAAAGATATTAGTATTATCCAATTATTTTGTAAACATCAAAAGACAGGGATCAAGATCATCATTCTCTCCCTTTTTGATGATGACAAAACAATGGATGATGAAGAAAAATGAGTAGAAGCTCCCCCTTACTCATAACATTCAAAACCATTAGATACCAGCATATAATATCATCGAAAGAACTTTCCCTTATTCATAACATTCCAAACCAGCATCCATTTAGTAATTTCTCCCCCTTTTTGTCATCATAAAAGTAGAGAATAATTGCTATAAAAAATAACAACAGTGGCAACCATTATCAGCCAACATTCATACCAAAAAATACAAAAAAATAACACCAAAGGATACCAATGATAGCTGTAAGGATCGAAGACAACCAATCGAAAAGCCAATCAATAAGCAATTAAAAGATCGCAATATAACAATAAGTAAATAAAAGGAAAAGAATTGCAAACCAATTAACTACACAACTCCTATTGAGCTTGTAGATTAATTCAAATAAGCTTCTTCAAATTGATGAATTACAATCACTCTTGCGTACAAAGGAAGGTTCACCTCCTCCTTGCCCCGAACACCACTCGGTCAAGTCAGGATGTTTTACTATCCCTCAGGACAACCCTCACAGAGCTACACTCATGAAAGATTCACTCACAAATGAAAAACTTACAATGAATCTCACACCACTAAGACTACAAATCTTCTTTGATGAGTATTTTCTCACTAAAATCACTTTAGATCTTTTGTATCTTCAGTGTGCAAAAGTTATTTGAAATATCTGACCAACCACTATTTATATAAGATCAAGAAAGTGCCTCATTAGTGCTTCCAACGGATAGAAAGTAGCTGAAGAGTCAACTAGCCGTTGGAGTGTCGGACGTCCGATAGCCCTGTTTTATGCGTCCGACAGCAGGCAGTGAGTTTAAGAGATTTTCTTCAATTCTTTCGGACGTCCGATGCAAGCTTTTTGTGCGTCCGACAGCAAACAAAGAGATTTGAGAAATTATCTTATTTCTATCGGACGTCCGGTAGAGACATATTCAGCGTCCGATAGATTCGTCGACTTCGAAGGATCCTATTGGACGTCCGAAGCATTCGTCCGAAGTTGTACAATGATTATCGGACGTCCGGTACTGTCTTCTTGAGCGTTCGATAGGTTCAGCATACTCTGTCTTTTTCAAATGTGCTTAATCTTTGAATCTAATTTGTTTCATTTCTGAAAAAGCCTTTGAGGAGATGTTAGCAACATCCATTTGTTTTGTAATCATCAAAAGTTAAGAACCAAGGTCAACATTCTCCCCCTTTTTGATGATGACAAAACAATGGATGGAAGAAAAAAAAATTGAGCAATATAAGCATAAGCTCCCCCTCACACAATGCATCTAAACTTATGAATTCAGAATAACTCCCCCTTACACATAGCATCCATTTCTCCCCCTTTTTGTCATCATAAGATGAAAGTAAAAATCAGCTACCAAAAGTCAGCAACAATAACAGAGAATCCGATAATCCAAATAAAAAACAGAGAAATGACAGCAATCACAGCAAATCATCATGAGATCAGAATTATTCTTTTTTCTCTTTTTTTGACATCATATAAATTCAATAATAATCAAAGACATCAAGAAAAAAAAAAATAGTTCTAAGCATTAGAAACTTCAAAAAAGAATTACAGAAAAGCATTATGAACAAGAATCTCATCAATTTTACCAATATTCCCTACTTGTTAGAGTTAGCATCATGTTTAACTATCCACATGCATTTCATGCCTCTTCTCATGTTTTTCCTCAAATAACAATCACTTTTCATGTGACCTTTTTGACAACAAAAATTACACATAACCAAAGAGTTATTCACATAAACGGGTTTAATAAATCTGACTTGCCTTTTCCTATGGATAGTAAACTCATTTGCATATTAATTCAGTCTTATCTGATGAGTGCCAAAATGAGGTTTTGATTTATTACTTTGAAAACAGTCTTATTTTTTATATTGGAGCAACTCATTTAAACCATCCATTCTTCTTTTCAAATCACCTTGTTCCTTTTTGAACAATTCACAAAGTTTTATTTTTCTATCAAGCTCAAAGTGTAAAGCAGTCTCACTCTTTTTGAAGAAATCATTTTCAGCATTCAACTTTTTATTTTGTTGAAAAAGATTTGCATTATCTCGAAACAAAAAACTAATTTTCTGTTTTAACTCCTTGTTTCTAGCATAAGATTGTTTCAAACTATCATGCAATTTTATAATGAAAGATTCAAGATCATCATCAGTTTCATCATCACTTTCAAATTGAGAGTTACAAGTTGTTACCTCATCATCTCCAATGGCCATGAAAGCCAATTGAGCAGATTCTTCTTCCTCTTCAATTTCACCATCGGAGTTGCATTCATTCCATGTGAACTGGAAGTTATTGAATCTGGGTTTTCTTTCACCTTTTCTCTTCTTCACTGGACACTCACTTGCATAGTGTCCAGGTTGGCCGTATTCAAAGCACTTGTCACCTTGCTTTTTGTTGGCTTCATATCTTCCTTTGTTTCTTGCATTGTTGAATTAATTAGAATCTGAATTGCTAAGTCCTCCTCTTCTAAATCTTTTTTTGTTGAGAATCCTCTTGAAACTTCTTGTGATGAGAGCAAGATCACTGTCATCAACTTCCACATCTTCTTCATCTAGGGAGGCAGAATCATCTTCATTTTGTGATGCCTTTAGAGCAATGCTCCTTCTTACTTTCGCATCCTCCTCCTCTTGCACTTTGGATTTAAATTTCAGCTCATAAGAGGTTAGAGAATTAATAAGAGATTCAATAGGCATAGTATTCAAATCTTTAGCCACCTCAATAGCAGTCACTTTATTTTTCCAATCATTGGACAAGGCATTCAGGATTTTTCTATTTTTCTCACCTAGAGAATATTCTTTTTCCAGTACCTCTAAGTCCTTAATGAGGTCGTTGAATCTACAGTACATCTCATCTATGTTTTCATGAGGTTCCATCTTGAACGATTCATACTTGGTAACCAGAATGGACTTCTTTTATTCTCTAACATTCTCACTACCTTCATGAAATTCTCTCAATTTATCCCAAATTTTCTTGGCTGACTTGCAGCCTTTGACTCTAGCAGATTCATTTGAATCTAAGGCACAATATAACACATTCATGACTTTTGCATTTAAGGTGAGATGAATTCTATCCGCAGCAGTCAGTTCACTTCTCATTTTTTGTCTAGATCTGTGAGTATTTTTATCTATAAGAGAGGTATCATATGGACCTTCACTAATAATAAACCATAATTCAATATCAATAGACTGCAAAAATATAATCATTCTTTCTTTCCAACTCACATAATTTGACCCATTAAACATAGGTGGTCTAATGATAGAATGTCCTTCAAAAAATATGACATTATTGGTTGTCATTTTTACTCCCAAGCCGATTGAGCTTAATTTCTAGGAGACCAAGCTCTGATACCAATTGTAAGGATCGAAGACAACCAATCGAAAAGCCAATCAATAAGCAATTAAAAGATCGCAATATAACAATAAGTAAATAAAAGGGAAAGAATTGCAAACCAATTCTATGGTTCACCTGCTGCGTTTTTCTTTTTGCTGAATTCCAAGCCATTGGATGGCTTTTTGTTTCTCAACCTTGAGTTGCCGGATGAAGGCCAGATGGCCTTGTATTATGCCAATCCGATGGAGCAAAATGGCCGAAAAACAAACTGAAAAAAATGGGGCTGCGTTTTTGTTTTTGCCTCTGCACTTTCCGCCGCACGATTTCTGCTTAAAATGTTATATGAAGAAAAATGGGCTAGGATCCTGTGCAGCTCCAGGTGCATGAGCTTGGTTTTCTCTCTCCCCTTTTTTTAGTTAAATAAACAATAAACTTGCATAAAATAAAATCTAACAGAGATAAGGCATATTTTTGTGACCATTTTCTGGCAACTCTTAACACTAAAAAACCTTAAAATATAATTAAACGACTAAATGATCAAAAATGAATATAAAAATAAAATAAAATAAAATAAAATAAAAATAAATAATAACAATCAAAAATGTTATAAAATGCTAAAAGGTGCCTTAAAACAAAAATTATGAGATTAATAAATAAAATATATAATAGTTATTACTAAAAACAAAAAAAAAATAGAACAAAAAAAAAATTATTCAAAAATTTGGTGTCTACAGAAGCTAGATATAAAGTACTCCTCACCCAAATATGGATTCTTAATCATCATAAGAGTTTTAAGCTCTTCAAATTTCTTCTGATACTCTTCAACTTTTCTAGTTTGTTGCAATTTATTGAACTCTTCTACAACATCTTTACTAATTCTATTATCAAACCTCTTACACAGTAATTCCTCAAACATTTTCCAAGTCATTCCAGGTTTTTCTAGTTTTACTCCTTGGAACCATTTGTCCGCCTTTCATTCTAAATACATTTCTATGACTTCCAATTTTTGTTCCTCAAGAATTTGATAGTTTAAACAATATTTATTACATTTCTTGATCCAATCTCTCGGGTTTGCACCAGTAAACAAGAACAACTCAATTTTTGGGGGATTTGGTATCAGAAGTTTACCTACGTCCTTCTTTGTTGTCTTAGTGCTTTCAGATCCAATTTGCAGCCTCTGATTCAGTGGAGGGGTTGCTAATAGGGGTGTGTGATCGTTTTGATGTCTATCTTCTTCTAGAATTGTCTTTTCTTTTCCCATCATCATCCTCATAAAGGCACTGAATTCTTGTTTCATTCCAGCTACCAGACCTTTTATCCTATTATTACTTTCTTCCAATTCTGCACGCAATTCATTGCGTATTTGCTATTGTTGTTGATGGGAAGCTTGCAGAGTTTCTACCGCCTCTTCAAGCTTGACTTCTTGCTTCTTGATTTGCTCCTCCAATGTCTTAAACCTAGTGCTTTCTGCCATTGAATCCGAATTTTCCAAGGATTCAACTTGTTCTGGTACCACTTGTCAGGATCTTGGTTAAATGTTTGGATTAAAGGAGAATTAATCTGGAATAAATGATCCAGAAATGGATAGAATGAGTGGAGAGAGAGAGAGAGAGAAAGAGAGAGGAATTGAGAGGGAGAGAGAAAGAGAAAGAGAGGAAGATGAAGACAGAGAAATGATATCATTATTTCCTTGGATTCCTTTCAACCAATCATCTTTGTACATATAGGATTAGTAATCGACTCTAACTAATTCAGGTAATTCTGTTATTCCCTACTTCAAACGACATCGTCCTACTTATACATCTTATGTCGCTGATTTGTACAAAACGTCATCGTTGCATGTTTGTGGCTCTCTTATATTTCTGGGCTCATTTCTGCATCCCGACACGAAACTACTTACTCTGACTGGTGGGACAATTAGTCGAGCTTTTTGCACTTTTCCCAATTTGATCTTCTCTCACACTCTTATCAAATAGTTCTCCAACTTGATCCCACATCCAAATATGCTCAAAAACCTACAAAAACAATAAAATAACGTCAATTTTATCAATAGATTAATCATTCTTGTTAAACCATGTTTAATCGTGTAACTTACTAGAAAACTCTAATAAATTTAATAATTTAACACACAAAATACACTATAAATGAACTTAAACATACATACAAACATATGCAAATTCAATACTAATCAACTGTCTCACAATTAAACTATTGTTTGTTCTCAACCAATCAATTTAAAGGGTGAATTCTTAGTTTGTGATGGAAAAAAAAAAGAATTCTACAACGAGGGCGTTTCCTGGAGGGGTTTCTGTAAATGGGGGTCTTCGCATTTTGAGAATGCGAGCTCAGTGAGCTCGCATTCTGAAAATGCGAGCTCAATTGGAGCTCGCATTTCGGAAATGCGAGCTCACTGAGCTCGCATTTTCAGAATGCGAGCTCAGTGAGCTCCCACTACCCAGCTCCCACTGTCCATGGACGATTAGAGTTCAACCGCTAGGAATCCAGAAGCATTAAAAGTATATTCAATTCCTACTTGCTGTTGTTAGTGAAGATGTCCCCCGGACTGCAGGCCAAATGGAATGCCAGGAAATGGAACCTAACTCAACACTAACAGGGATACAAAATGGAGTCGGGAAGATATTATAAGTCGCGCAGGAGAGTGCATGAGTGACAAGTGTTCGTTTTATTAAGGAGAGATGAATATCAAACACTACTGCATGCATGCCACTTGTGGGACATATAGATACTATTACTGTATATGCGGATGCAAATGAACATTGACGGCACCCCATGGGAATGGGATACGACCAAACTTGCTTCATTGTCCTTTCAATTTCAGAATCAAAGATGCTTCCTTAATCCTTCTTCTTGTTTGTCGGTGTGCAATATAAAAGAAAAACCCAAAACCATATCTAGTTATATAGTATATAAAATGCAACAAAAATGTAGATAAAAAAAAAAGAAAAAAAATTTGCATCTCTGTAATGCGAGCTCTGTTGAGCTCGCATTTCAGGAATGCGAGCTCTGTTGAGAGCTCGCATTCGTGAAATGCGAACTCTCCTGAGCTCGCATTTCACGAATGCGAAGACCCTTCCGACAGAATTCCTCGCCACAATCACCCATTTTGTAGAATTTTTTTAAAATTCATCACAAACTTAGAAATTTCTCTCAATTTAAACAATAACTTGAACATGAACAAATATAATGCGAAAATAATACTTCGTAGGGACTTCGATGACCATATAAACCCACATAAATTGTTGGATTTAAATGGATAATCTATGTCAGTTTCCAATTATCAAAATTAAACATTAAAAAAAAAAAAAAAAAAGTCTCACCACATGCCCTACTCACACATTCACTCGCACAATCAAACACGCGTTAACTAACTATAAAGCTCTCGATCTGTTGGAAAACCCAAAGAGTTTGGACCAAAATGGAAATTTTTAGTTCCTCTCTTGGGGAAAGGCTTTGTGTCACACCCCAAACCCGAAACTGTAACACGCCGCATATTAGGATTCATCCCAATAGGCAAGGCTCAAAAGCTTTAATAAATATCCACAAAAATTAACATCAATACTCCAAATGAATTAACCAAAATCATCACTCAAATAAATACCCCAAAATGTCCACGAATGTAGTATCAGACTTATTGAGTAGGAGGTAGTTATGGCACGTAGGCCCAGAATACCAAACTCATAAATCAAGAACAAAGCTAAAAGACAATTGTGCCTGCCAACCCCATGGACCTGAATTTGGCACTTCCTCAGGCTACTAAACTCCTCTGCCAAATAAATAGTTAACGTGGGATGAGCAATCAACATGGCACAGTAAGTAGTCCAGGTTCTCAACCACTAATTTGAGCATGTTCAATACAGTACAGATTTTTCAAGCACATTTCATACACACACAAGCAAATAAATACTTCAAAGGAAAGCTTCCAAATGATTTACAAATGTACATAGATATAAGTGGCAATCAAGATATTTGGCAAATAAATTCAATTACTAAGAAACATCTATTAACCAAGCAATTATTAATGTGGCTCAAGGGTAACTAAATTTTGTCAACATTTCCGGATATCCAGCCTAACATTAACCCATTAAGAGGGTCCAATGAGTTTCAAGTACCCCCTGGAGGTTCCAATAATTCCAGGTACTCTTCCCTGGAAGGTCCAATGAGTTTCCAGGTACACTTTCCTCCGGAGGGTCCAATGAGTTTCCAGGTACTCTGCCCTGGCAGATTCAAAAGCATGTTCCAAGTACTCTTCCCTGGCGGATCCAATGAGTTTTCCAGGTACTCTCTCCTGGCAGATGAAAACTAGTTTTCACTGACACTACCAAGTTTAACCAAAAGCCAAAACCAATAATATGAACTAAGATGTCAAAGCAAGCATATCACAAACACTGTTATAGTATTATAATTGCCACTTATATAAGTCGAAGCAATCAAATAGGACATGCTCAAATTAGATTTTTGGTACTAAACAAATAAAATTTTCATTAATTCGAAATAAAGGAGAATATTTGCAAATTTGGAGGAGAACAAGAACCACTTCCATCTTTAAGCTATTCCAAGTTCCAATTCACTTAGCTACTCCACATTCTGGCTCTCCTTCCAACCTAGAACACCATTCAACTGACCTTAAGATTACATCGCTTATGCATAGCAATGCACTCTCGAATAATGACATTTCAGTCCGAGAAGATTCTCACAAGAAATGCCAAAAGCAACTTCAGTTCACAAAATACGCTTAATCTCCATAAATGGTTACCCGATCTAACCTTCACCCCGAACCTGAAGTCGGTCCCCAATTCTCCATGTCCAATATGTCTATTAATGTAGGAATCTTGCACATGCAACTTTTCCGCAAACTGGTTTCCCTAATTCATGAGACCTTAATTTATATTATATTATTTGCATGAATCCAAACTATAGATGATGAAGTCTAACTATATTCCTAGACTAGCAGTTGTAAAATTTACAAATGATGGCCGTGTGGCGGCCCCACCTTCCCCTAAGGCGAACCAGAGGGTTCGGCGAGTCGCCTGCCCAGCTCTCGCCGGGACTCACTCACTCAATCATCTAAACATCATCAAATATAATTCGTAAATAAACTTTACTTCTCGCATAAGCCAAGTACTTAAACAAACCGTATCATTCAACTTACTCTGTCCAAAAGTACAATTTCAAGCATCAAAGAAAATATCTAACTTAAAATACTTAAATTCAACTTAATTTACAATTTAAAATTCCTAATCCAGGGCACAGAAGCACCACAGGATTCACATTTTCCCAAAGACACAAAA